TTATAAAACAAAAAGCGCTGTCGACCGTGACAGGACTCGAACCTGCAATCTTCGGATCCGAAGTCCGACGCCTTATCCATTAGGCCACACGGTCATATTCTATTCTGAGTAAAAACCCTATTAGAATTTCACAAAAAGTCAGTGTATTACTGTTAAAAAATTGCTGTAACGTTCAACTGTACTACACAAGTACATAAGGATTTGTATAATATGTACAATACAAGTTTGACAGTAGTGAAAACTACTATGAATGACGTCACCTACTTATTCACATTGCGGTGTGGCTGCCGACCCCGCCTAAACCGCCGCCGCAGCTGCGTGAGTGCGGCGGGCGACATCTTGCGGAGCAGCTCACGACACAGGCTGCCCGTCTCGTCTTCCTCACTGGAAATAAAAGGTGAAATAAATAAGTGCTAAACTACTCGCGTAGTAGTCTTTATTGTCGTCTCTCTTTGCTGGAACAGCTGTATGGATTTCTCATTCTCTTTGGCAATGTCGCAGTCGTAGAAGCCCACGATTTCAACAAGGGACTTAACATACCTCATTTTAAAATGCAACAAATAAATTAAATCATGGTTTAACTAGACTTTTAAATAAAAGAAGACGTAATACTTACGTTGATAGACTTTCTTCTGATAGACTCCTCACGGAGTAGCTTTTCTCAAATATCTCCGAACATTCTTCATTTAATGATTTTTGAGATTTAATGGACATTTTTAACTTATTAAAATGTTTCTCGAAGTAAATATTTGGAAAGAATATCGTTGTTGAAACTCAGATTAGTTTGTTGTTTTGTCAATAAAAACCCAAACAGCTTTTACTTGTTATTCATGCAGCGCCATCTTGTATCGCGTGAACGACATTTTTAACAAAAAAATTATCATTTCAGTTCAATCACTTTTTTTGTAGATGGCGCAATAATTTATTTTATTACACGATATTTTGTGAAGTAAGTTATATTTGAAATCTCGAATTTTATATTGCTTGCTTCCAAAGCGATGCTTAAAATATCGTATATGTTTTTTAACGTTTTAAATTCTTTTGTGCGACATCTTGTGGCGAGTTGCTGAAGTAATACTTTTCACCGGTAACGACCATTTGCTTTAGTTTATAAATTCGCCGCTAGATGGTGCTATTTGACATTCTGAATTTTTGTGTTTTAACTTTATTGTAAATTGCAATGTTATGGACTCTACAATGAAAAAATCAAAAATAAAACACAGAAAGAACATTGTCTATTTTATTGTTTGTATATATTAATACTTAGCTATAGTACTGTATACGCTAGCTACATGCCGGCTGTACACGAAACACTACTAGAACATTTAAATACACATTTTGTTTAACAAATAAAAACATCTTTTAATAAGCATTTATCTTGCTCCATGTTATAACAATATGAGATATATTTAATTAATTTTGCTTGATATTTGTCAGCAATAATCGTTTTTATCATTTTTGTTTGTATTCTAGTGTCGTGGTTGTTTTACAAACATCAAAGTAACCTTTAAAGTGAATGTCGATGAATGAGTTTTGTGTGTATTTAAATGTTCGCTAGTTGAAAGACTCACAAATATCATGTATAATACATTATAAAGAAAAATAAAATATACATACATTTTTGCAGCACTGTCGGGTCACTAACATATAGTAAATGCTTACGATTATTAAAAAAACAAAGTTTATTTATACAAAATTCTGCCACCATTATTATTTTACAATACAAACCATTTTAAGAAATACATGCGTAAAGTCTGATTTTTTAAAATAAATTCATAAAAACACATGATTTTTATACTTTCGGAAGCATGCATTTATTTTGTGGCATTCTCGATTATGTACCTTAAAGTAATTTGTTAGTGAAAACATTACGTTATACATTTAATATCAGACCTCAAACAATACGTAGCTTTGGTTTCTAAGTTTATTTATTGACATTTAACTTGAAAATGAGCCCCGAAGAGATTTACTTAAGTATACAAAAACATTACAGAGAAAGTTATTGGTGTTTATTTTTAAATACCAATAAATCTTTTGAACTAATCTCTACAAACTAATTAATTCAAAAGATTCATTAATATTTCTGATGAGATATTTGTAATCTTTCGTGATATCGACTTCGGGGCCTACAAATAAATAGGAACTTTGAACCACTTTCGACTAAAACAGCAATGATACAGAGTGGCCGCAAGTTTCCTGGAAATAAATCAAACTTTACATGACAGTTGATAAAGATTCGACATCTCTTTCATTCTCTTTGACAAAACAAAGACAAGAACATTTTCCGCACAAACGTCGCGGCTGAACTTCTACTGTTCACTTCTATCATACAATTTCACACACAAACATTATTCTGTTTCATTAAACATTTCGTATACGAAGTTTTACATATATTTTTACATTTACATATCAATGAAAAATAAACATGAATTATAAATCCACTAATATTTATTTACACGGATTAAATAAATATTTAATAAACAATTTTATCAAAAAAGTAAGTAAAAGTAAATTACTGATTCGAATCAGGAAATTACAAAAAAAAACAAAAATTTGTTCTAAGAATGATTCATAAACCATCAAAATACTATTTAAACGCTTTCTGTTTGTAGTTTAAAGTTTTTATGAACATTGTAATAATTAGTGAAATGGAATGTTTTATTACGATATGAACAATGAGGACATGTCAAACAGACGCGGGTACAGTCGCGTACAGCAATGTTACATCTAATCTATTAAATATTCAATAATTACTTATAAATAAATATATTACGAATACAAACTAACATTATAATTATTATTGTACGAACGCGTATACATGTATTTTATTTGAATACAGCTAATTTTGCCATATTTAAAGTCTTCGGACATTTTTATAGAATATATTTTTTACCTCGTCACAAAAACCTTGTGACATGAACGTTACTATAAAGATAAAATATTGCTAAAAATTAAAATAAATAAAGTAAGTAACGTTTTCATATTTTTTGTTCCATTTAATAAGGTAACGAAAATGTAAGTGTTTTGTAAGATAAAAATATTTAATATCGCCTTTCGTTTTATCGTAAGACAGTAACCCAGAACATTAGTCCAGTTTAGTTCAGATTGACTGTCTTCTTATCGCATTCAAAACCGACGAGTAAATCTCACGTGATTGTGAATACAATAGCAGAGTAGTAGACAGTGAGCTAAAGTTCAGGACATTTGACTGCCTGCTAGATAAAGGGTAGAAGACATTCCCCTACGGTAGTTGTTGGTGTCGTGTTAAGTCGCTGGAAGTCCGACATACAGGTTGTATCTTTGCTAAGGATAAGTATGAGTGAGGAATCTCTCCGCGTCGATTGTTAGTAGTTTATCGGTATGTTTGTTGCTGTCCATGTGTCTGTGTGTCTGTATGGAAGGCTGTGCGGCGGTCAGTAGACGGGACTGTGCGCGTCGTAGTTGAGCTGCAGGTATGGCGGGATGGCGGCC